CCCGATCGTGAATACTATACCGGAATATTTGATCTTGAGGGCGTTGGATGCTATGTGGAAGGCGGAAGAGAGAGAAAACGAGGCAGTGTAAGGTTGAAACTGATAATTAATTAATTTATTTATTTATACTCTTGAATGAGAAAAGCTACGAAATGGGCAAATTAATTTGCATGCTTAAAAGCATATAACAATAGAACATTATGTTATTACGTTTTGATGTTTCGAACACAATATTTAAAGGAATGACATGAAACTTGTGCGAGATATTTAAACGTTTGATTTAATGATCGTAAAGGCAATAAATTATCATATTCGTTAAGATTCATCTCGTGAAAAATTTTGAAAGTCAATTTGTGATTATTATGTGATTAATTATTATTATTATTATATAGCATTGAAATAACTTCTACTATACATGCGTCGGTTTTAAGCGTAAAACGTTTTTATTGACTTAATCTTGTTTAATTTGCAGGAAAAATTAGTATGATTTCGAATTCAGGTAAGTAATCTTTATTCTGCAGATGAGAAGCTAACGATTCTAACGTCCACTTTCGTCAAAAAAAAAAAAGAAACTGGTTAAAAATAATCCCGAATTACCTTTTTGTTACAAAAATCCTTGTATATAATAATACTGTAATATATCGATATAGTTACATATAAATCGAATATGTACGACACGCGTTAACCAATTGTAGTGTATCGATGTGTATATATAATACAATAAATAAATAAAACATTATAAACCTTATATCGTTGTTAGCAGAATTGTTTAAATGTCTAAAATGTCAAGTAAAAGAGAAGGACCAACACCTCCAGATGTTTTCGGACCACTTAATTTTATTATTGGCATGTATTTAATAAATTACATTAATAAATTTTTAGACTTTTTTTGTTAAAACTTGAATTTTTTTTTTTAATGTAGATGTAATTGTTGGTGCACTTTACCTTCTCAAACCTATTTTTTCAATAGCGCTTGCGCTATTTTTGGGATGGTCCTCGATCTCATTTATCTCAAGTACCTTTCAAAACGACTTAGCATTAGTTGTGTGTCGTTTACCTTTATCCAACTTCATTCCATTATGTCAAGCACCTATTCCAGATTTTTCACGCTTAGTAAATCGACAAGTTGAAACTTATGAACAAATAATGGATTATCAATTATCACATACGGGAGCATCGTCTTCACTAGCATTAGATATAAAAAAAGCCGAATTAGCAACAGCCGATTTAAGAACTTTAATAAAATATTCATCATTATCCACAGCAAAAGAATTAGTAGATAGACTTACAGAATTTGTTGATAAAGCTAAAAGTGTTGGTAGAGACTTACAAATTTTACAATCAAGAACAAGAACTTCATTGGATAATTTGATTACATATAATATATTTGCTTTGAAAGCATTAGAAGATGTTAGAGATAATAAAATTAGTGCCAAAGAATTAGCTGCTGGTTATAATCAAATGATGACTTTGATCGAAAGTGATTTAAAAAGAATGATACTTGTTGCAACTGAAGCTCTGGGAAGGTAATAAATTTATACCTTTTTTTTTTTTAAATATACCTTTTTTTTTTTAAAAAAAAAAAAATTGTGATTTAAAATATAATTTATTTTATTAACAGTTTGGCAGATTTGGATGAAATGTTAATAGCGATTCATGACATAACGACTCGTGAAGGAGCATTTCAAAAAACCGAACGTACTGCATTATTTGCACAAATGTGGACGAGACTTGGAGGCAATTTTGTGAAAAGGCAAATTTTTGAAGAAAATTTACAATTATTAAAAGATCTTGATAAACAAAGACGTATTGCAGTTTCTCAAATACAAACAACATTGTATAGTTTAACTTCATTTCAATTAGATTTAGAGGAATTGAGAGAACATGTTTCACGACCATCATTAGTCGAAATGCCTATTGAAGTTCATATCGAAAATGTTGGAAAGGGAATAGAGAGGTTAAGAACTAGTAAAGTCGCTTTAAGAAGTAATGATGATGGTATTAAGGCTAAGATGATTGATAGTGAAAGTTCTAATAACAATAATAATAATATAAATCTAAAAATGGATGCAGTTACTGGGTAATTGCATTTTTCGAAATAGATATTATGATTGTAAATAGTTGATCCAAAAATCTGTGGTTTTCTTGTTATGTTCCATAGAGGTTTCAAACTTTATTTTTATTATAAAATATTTTATTTTTGAATTTTTAATTGACGAAATATTTGTATATTTTATTTTATTAATTTTTTTTATTAATACTTTATTTCAGTTTACGTTTCCAATGTTATTTACAAAAAAAAAGTGATGAATAATAATGATGAAAAATTTCAAAAGTAAATAACCAATGAATCACATTAAAATTAAAGTTACAAAAATGACGTTTTTTTTTTTTTTTTTTTTATTATATTGTGATCTCCGTCACAAACATTTGATCATTGAGCCAAGGAGGCGAATGCGTCTTGTTATTGTTCATACAAGTAACCGACATTTCTACGCTGTAATTCATTAAGCCAGATACACGTAGGCCCATAATGAAATGTAGTGACATTGGAAAAAAAAAAAAAAAAAAAGGCTAAGCTTTTTGATCAGGTTCTGGCGTGTTCTCTTGGATTGGGCTCGTTTTCACTGTATAAGTTGGAGGTGGAACCCAATCATGAGCAGTTGGTGGTTTAGTTTCATAAACAACATATGTGGGGGTTCTTTGACCGTCACTAGGTCTAAATTGATAATTAGCGTCTGTTTTCATTCTTCGAGAATAGCGAGAAACGACATATGCAAAATAGAACTAGAAAAAAGTTTTTTTTTTTTTTTTTTAGCTTTAGAGATGTAACATCCACAAGAAAAATTCCGATTATTGCTAACCTACCGTAAAGGCGCCAAAAATGGCGACTTTAAGACCATCCCTAACTAAAATAGCAGTAATGAAATCTTTACATTCCCAATTAGATGTATTTAAGCCCTCATTTGCATTTTCTTTTTGTGCTGAAAGACAGGCTTGTACATATTCATCTTTAAAGACTATTTCAGTAATGTAAACAGAGATGCTGAACTTAAACATTAAAACAGTGAAAATCCAAAGAACAACTGATAGACGACGTAACAATACAGCATTTCCCTGAAAAGTAACATTAGTAACATTGAGATATATTATTTATAAAATAATGAATTACTATATAGTATTATGTTTAATATTTACCTTTCGAATTGCGATAGTACCAACAACTCCTATCACAGTCATAACGAAATATACGATAGCAGAAAGAACTAAAATTATTTTATCCCTTAGATTATAATCGGAAGCTAAAAATAAAAAAAAAAAAAATCAATTAGGATTTTTTATAATTTAGGTAATACAATAACATTTTATACTTACATGCCAAAGAAGAAAGTGAACTTAAGGTGTTTAACAACCCAAAGAACTGTTGTATTAAATGCATTCGTAAGTCATTATAATTCCTTTAATAGTACCTTTATAAGATTGAAATACTTACAAAGTAAAAGGATAAAATAATAACAACTCCCACTTGTTCTGTTATACAACCACAACAGTTTCTTAGTTGTATTTTATTGTCATAACGTTTTTCTTCTGATACATCAAGTACAGTAATTGTTGGGAAGGCAGATTGATCTTTCTCTGAAATGCTGTTATTATAAGACATTATGATTTACAGTTATATAGAGTTCTTTGGACTTCAAAGAGGTACACTATGCTACGAGCGCGTTGCGATTTAAGGAATTAAGGAAGGTGAAAAAAAAAATGATAACGTTATATAATTATGGCTCGTGACAGCGTAGTAAATCGACCGGCGATTTCCTCCAAGTGTATACGTAAAAAAATAAATTTAGGG